TTTTTTGCCTTTTATCGAGTCTTTTATGGAACCCCTTTCGCTGTATTTTTTTTTTTGTTTTTTTGCATAGGGAAAACAAAGTAACATCAGCCAAAGTCACATTCTATAAATGATACTCAGGCGCGTCTGCGCAGACCAAACCGACCGCGTGATATATGGGGTGATGGCGGCGCAGGGCCGGGGGGCCCAGCTGACCCCCTCCCCCAGCAGGGGAGGGTGAGGACAACCCGGGGACCCCCAGGGCCAAGCGGAACTGTTCCCCGACTTGGGTTCTGAGCACAGGTGTGTGTGTGTGTGTGTGTGCGCGCGCGTAACGTGTATGGTCTGTTATGTGACGCAAGCAGAAAGCGAGAAATAAAATGATCTCTCCTGTAATATGCGTAAAATACAAAATGGAAACAAAAAAATCTCAAAAAAAAGTCTCAGAGAAATGAACGGGACAGCCTCGACACCCAAACAATTGAGGGGTGTGGGGTGGGGAGGGAGGGAGAGAGAGAGAGAGGGAGAGGGGGGAAGGAAAAAAAGAAGAAACAATATCCAGAAATTCAGAAAGGCTGGGGGGGGGTTGAGGGAAGGAAATCGAGAAAGAAACCTAGAGAAGAATCCAGAAAAATCCAGGTGAAGATGCTGTGACCCGCCCTCCCCAGGGCCCCTCCCCCGCCGAGCCCTCTCCTCACCCCTCACACTCAGTGGGCAGGGAAGGGGGGGAGAGGGGGGCGCTCAGGCTGAGACCCCTGGATTTGAAGGGGCTTTGGTTTTAGGGGACAGCAGCCTGGCTGAGATTGGAGGTGGGAAGATGAGGAGGGGGTGCATGTTGAGAAGGGGGTTTGGGGGTCCCCCCTTTTTGCCCAGGTGGCGGCTTGGGGTGCATGGCTTTCCCCATCTCTGGAGCCCGTGATCACCCCTGTGTGTTCCACACCCCCCCTCTACTCGAGGTCTGAGCACAGTCTGGGGGCCCGAGGATACCAGTGTGTGTGTAGAGGGGGCGCTGAGGCAGGGAGACCCCAAAACTGCACCAGCAGACATGAGGCACTGCTTGGGAAATGAGTGTTTTGGTATAGCTGGCGAGTTCTGCTGGCCGGGCTTCGGTTTGCCTCCTGCCTTGCTGCTTGTGGGGGGGCTTCGGGTCCCCCTCCCCGGCTCTGGACCACCTAGGGATGGATAGATGGAGCTTGGGGGGGTGGGCATGGAGGCGGGGACCCCCCCTCCCAGAAAGTGTACTAGGGAGCAGAGAAGGGGAGAGAGGAAGCTGAATTTGAGGGAAGAAATCATCGGGGTGTCTGAGCCAGAATCTAGGCTTCAACCTCCAAGTTACATGGGTACAGCCTACATGTATGTACAGACAGCACAGCCCTGTGCTGGCGGGGTCGAGGTACACTGGGGGTGGGGACCTGCCTGCTGCCCCCCTTTCCCCGGGGCCTGTGGCCACGTGTGGCCCCACCAGCGTGGCCTGTGTGTGGGACGGCAGCCATGCCGGGGCCCCTCCCTGGGTGCTGCTGTGGCCCCTGGGCAGGGAGGTGGCGGGCAGGGCAGGCCCCAGGAGGGGGAGCCCCAGGGGACAGTGTGGAGGTCCCCGCAGCTCCCCATTTCCCTCGGATGGCCCTGCTGGTCTGCCTGGGGTCCCCGGGGAGCCTGTGGGTTCTCTGAACGAGGCTGGGGACCTCCCTCCCTCTTTGCAGTCCTTCAGGGCTGTGTGATTTGCATATATTTGGGCACCCCCCCAGTCCTTCCCCATGGGGTGGACTGAAACCCAACCATCAGCTGGGGGAAGGGGGCTCTGGGAGGAGCTGGCCTGGGTATGGGGGTGGTGAACATGTCAAGTCAGAGAAACAAAAGAGCCCCAACTCTGTCTCCTGCCACCAACTGGGAGAAGCCCGCTGGCCAGGGCCTGGGACCCCAAGGCCGCGGTGGGGAGTTGGGGGGCGGCACCTCACCCAGCCTGCCCCCCCCGCCACTGTTCCCAACAGAGAGGGCAAGCGGGGTGAGGTGGGGCAGCAGCCCCTGGGGCCTTCCCTGTGCCCCTGCTCCCCGGGACCCCCAGCCCGGGGGTTCCCCCCCAGGGTGTCATTTTTTGGAAGAAAAGTTGGGATTAAGAATATCTTGGTGACATCCTGAGGGGACAAAGGGACAGTGGGTGAAGGCTGTGTGTTGGGGGACCCCGTGCGGGGGGCTGGGGGGTGCCAGGAGGCGGCTGCACCTCGGCCCCCCCACAGCCCATCTTCCTGCCTTAGCTTTGGTCAAGGAAACTGGAAAGGGACAGAGGAAAGACGGGGTACAGGGGGGAAGGATGGGAAGAAAGAGCCAGAAAAACCAAAATCAAGGACATGACAACCTCGGGCCAGAGGCCGCGACGGCTCCCCGTGCGCCCCACCCCCAGCCGGCCGGAGCGGGGTGCCAAGCGCAGGTATTGCATATATCAAGTTTTTGTGGGGTTCCCGTGTCGCTCCTTCGTGTCACTAGCTGGAAGACGGAAGATGGGGAGGGGGGTGAGTGGACGGGGGTCACCCCAGGCTGGTCTCCGGCTCAAGAAGAATGGGTCCTTTGGTGACAAAGTTGGGGTACACAGGGACAAGCGGGCCCCCAGCCTGCATGGATGGAGTCTGAGTCAGGCTGGGCCCGGCGACGGTGGAAGGGGCCGGGCAGGACGGGCAGGCCTGAGGTCCGGGTCCGGTCCGGGCAGGCGGCGGATGGCGGTGAGCACCAGGGAATGCCCCTCCCCACCCGCTGCGGGGGGGCGGTGCGGAGGGGGGCGCGGGGTGGTTCTGTGGCTCGCTTTTGAGCGGGTTTTCCTTGTCTTCTGAATGTCACTTCCTTCTCGTCTGTGGTGGCGATGGTTATGGTGGTTATTGTTTCTTGCTTTTTTTTTTTTTTTTTTTACAAATAGCAATCCATCCCTTTTCGCTTGGTACGCTTTATTTCGTGGCGTGGTCTATGTCTGTCTGTCTGTCTGGGGCTACGCGTGCGGCATGCAGCTGAGTGCTGGCCAGGGGCACAAGGCACATGTTGTGATAGAGAATTCTCGTGCAAATCAGGAACCGTGGGACGGCTGGGGCTGGGCTTCTTTTTTTTTTCTTTTTTGGTAGATTTTTGGGGGTTTTCTGTTTTAGTTGTGTTTTGGGGTTTTGTTAAGAGGCGGCGTGGGTGGCTGGGGGCGACGCCGGGGGGGGGGCATCCGCCATGCATACAGGTCGCGGGTTCCTAAAGCACCATGCAAGTCAGGTAAAAGAGTTGGTTCTCACAGGCCCGGACCCCCATGGGAGGTGGGGGGGATGGGTGGGGGGGGAAGAGGGCGACTGCTGGGGGTACCCCAAGTCCGGTCTGTCCCCCCCCTAGTCCCGGTCACCACCCTGGCAAGAGTCCGGTTTTGCCGGGTGGCATGGCCCTCACCCCTGCCCTTTTGGACAGCGGGCCCCCCCCACGCTTCAGTCCCCTCCTCCCCCGTGGAGGGGCCCTGAGGACGGACAGATGGATGGACAGACAAACGGACAGACGGGACCCCCTCCCCCCACCTCTGCGCTCTGGGCCCTGGGGATGGGAGACAGAGGGTGAAGAAGGGTCTTGGGTCTTTCTGTATGAGATTGAGGGGGTTCGCCAAGGCCCCCCCAGGCTACTTTGGAGAAGAGTCCAGACCCCCTCAGACAGAAGGGGGCCGGGCCAAGGTGAACGGATGATGGCTTTGGCCGAAGGTGGGGGGCACGGGATGGACGGGAGGGCCAGGGAGGGGGTCCTCGTGTTTACAACACCTAACACCCCACCCTGGCCCACCACTGAAGAAGGGGTCCCGGGGTGGGTGTGGACGGAGCTGGCTGGGGGGCACCTGGCCTCCCCCCAGCTTAGTGTTTTTGGAGCAGGTCAACGGAACACGCACAGCGGGTGTGCCCCGCTCTCTGCACCCCCAGCTCCGACAGAGCCCGCCCCGCCCCGTGCGGGGCTGGCTCCCTCCACCGGCCCCGCTTTGGGGGAGATGAAAGTGCAAATGGTGGCCCTCGGGGTGGGGGGCACCTGGGAGGGGCTGGCCTCCCTCCAGCATGTAAGGCACTGGCTGAGGGGGCGGCGGGACCCCCAGGACCCGGCCCGGGGCCCCGCGGTGTGGGGAGGGGGATGCAGGGAGGGGCTCCCGGGGCTGACCCTTGGGGTCCAGTCTCTCTAGCTTGGAGGGGGGCACGGCAATGGGGGGGCCGGGCTGGGGGAAGCGGGGGGCGCGTTCGGCCACTCTGTGTCCAGTGGACGACGGTGGGGGTCAGGCACTTAAACCACTCTGGGCTCCCACCTCCAGGGTTCTGGGGGGGTCGGGAGCTCCCCTGCTGGGCTTCGAGGCCAGCAGATTCCAGATGGGGGGTCCCGGCTCCACCATCCCCTTCCTGGGAAAGTGCATTGCTTCCACATGTGCAACAGGCCGGGTGGGGGCGGCGAGGGGGGGGAGGACGGCCGCCGTGCCAAGGGCCTGGGGTCACTTGCATAGACGTCCCTCATCCCCAACCCTGGGGCTGGCCTGGGGGGCACCCCACCCCGAAGACCAAGTCCCCAGGGCCCCCCCCCCCCGAGAGCGAGAGCCAGAGCCAGTCCGGTGGGGAGGAGGGCTCGTAGGTCCCGCTGCTGGGTGGGTCCCCAAAGTACCCGCACAGCGTCCATCCCGTCCAGCCAGGGGGGGCTGAGGGGCTCACACCTCTTCTGCCCACCCGCCCCTGCCTCCGTGGGGGTCCTCGCTGCCCCCTTGCCCGCGGCGGCCTGCTGCCTTTCCCTTCTTTGGCAAGTGCCGTTGGCGGGGTGGGGGGTGCGCGGGGGGGGGCGGTCGGTGGCCGCCCGGGGCTCACCTGCTCTGGGGCAGCGTCTGTGTCCTTGGGGCGGAGATGATGATGCGGCGCGGCGGGGCGGCAGGGGCGGCGTGGGGCCCGGGCCTGGCCTCCGAGCTGTCTTTACTGTCTTTACATTTCATCTTCGCGTCCTGGGGTGGGGGGCTCTCCTGACGCGGATCTTTCTTTCTTCTTCCTGTTTTTGTTTTTCTCCTTTTTTCGGGGGGGGGGGTGTTGCTTTTCCTTCTCCTCCCGCTGGGTCTGTCTGTGGGTTGGTTTTTTGGCCGGGCTGGGCGTTGGTGGGGTGTTCTTGCTCGCTCTTAACTTCCCACCGCAAATGTGGGTGGGGGGGCGGCGCTGCCCCCCCGGGAATTCCCGGGCGATGGAGAGGAGGTGGGGGCACAGAACGCTGCTATCCCAGGTACCAGGACTGAACGGCCGACAGGAACGAGAGCGGCGTTGGAGGGAGAGAGAGAGAGAGCACAGGCATCAAGCTCCACTGCGGACCCTCCGTCACCTCCCCCGCAGCCCCATCCTCCATCCCCGGGGCCCGGGATCCCGTCCACCCGTGGGACCCGGGGTTGGAGCCCTGCGCTGCCCACAAGGCTGCTGGGTCAATGCCAAGTGGCCGGTGAGGTTTCCATCCCGGACGAGCAGTGTGGGATTGTGGGATTGCTCCTGCCCCCCCACACCAGGCTGGGGGGGGGGCGAGGCATAGAGCTGGGGGGGAACTAGAACTTTCTGGCTGTGATTCCACAGCAGCAGGGCCGAGGCAAGTCTGGGGATGCGCCCGCCGTCAGGGATGCCCGGAGCGGGCAGGGTGACCCGGGGTGGCGGGGACAGGGCGAGGAAGCCCGCGGCCAGCGTGGGGATGGATCACATCACACACACTGCGCTGTCTGCACTGGCCAGTACAGCACCCCTCCTCCCCACTGTGCCTGTGGCTGTGATCTTTGTCCTCAACTGCATGTGACGTTGCTGGACGGCCCCAGGCCAGGTACAGCGGTGGCCAGGGCCACTGTATTTATTTAGTCGGTCCTGGGGCTTGAACTCTGGGCCTGGACACCGTCCCTGAGCGCTTCAGCACAAGGCGAGCGCTCTACCACTTGAGCCACAGTGTCACTTTCGGTTTTCTGGTGGCTAACTGGACATCAGAAGCTCATGGACTTTCCTGCCCGGGCTGGCTTTGAACCTCGATCCTCAGATCTCAGCCTCCTGAGTCGCTAGGATGACAGACATGAGCCACCAGCTCCCGGCTAGGACCATTTTCTTTTCTTTTCTGTCAGTCATGGGGCTTGAACTCTGGGCCTGGGCGCTGTCCCTCAGCTCTACCATTTAAGCCACAGCGCTACTTCTGGCTTTTTGTGCCTATGTGGTGCTGAGGAATCGAACCCAGGGCCTCATGCTTGCAAGGCAAGCACTCTACCACTGAGCCACCTTCCCAGCCCCCATTTTCCTTTTTAACTGGCATTTCCCCATTTAGTGACCCCCCCCCCCACCACAGGGCACCGCAGGCGAGCGCTCCACCTGCTCTACTGAAATGTCCTCTCCCATCTGACACAGGGACAGGGAGGCCACAGCCCTGACCGCCCTGTCCAGCCCCCGGGGCGCCCCCTGCCCCCGTCGCTGCCCCCCCAATCTGGTTGTGAAGCCATGGCGCCCCTCCCCCAGGCAGGCCCGTGGGAGGAACTGGCGCTTCCGCCGCTCCCCCCACCGGCAGCCAAGTCCAAGTTCATCGCGGCCATTACCTCATGTCTGGTTTCCGTTGGCAACCAGACAGGCTCTGGGCGTGACCCTCCCGAGGTGGACACCCAGCCCCGGGCCGGCCACGGTGGCCTTTCCTCCCTCCTCCCTCCGGGGGGGGGCACCCCCACATGGCCGAGGGGGGGCGGGGAGTCTCAGGATGTCCGCGCTGTGACCCTCTGCCCTTTGCTGGCTCCTGGGGAGCCCTGGGGAGCGGATGGGAAGGAGGAGATCCCCCCCCCACACCACCAGCGGGGCCAGCCTCGTGGCGGGGAGGCGCGGGGAGGGGGGAGGGGAGGGGGAGGCGTGGGGAGGGGGGAGGGGAGGCGGCAGTAGGAAGTGCTGACTGAGCAGGATGTGGGACCGTGCTGCCCGCCCTCCCCACGCAGCAGCGGGGGGGGGGGGGGGCACCGCATGCTTCCTCCCAACCTGCAGCCTCTCCGCAATCTGCCTCATCCCTTCCGGGCTCTAGAAGGTTCTTCTGGCTGTGTTCCTCCCTCACACTGAAGCCTCCCGCGCCCCCCCAATCCCGCCCTTCCCGCGCCCCCCGCCACGCCTCTTCTGGCCCCTGGCGCCTGGCCTGAGGAGGCGGATGGGGTGCCCACCTGCCTCAGTTTCCTTTCCCTCAGGTGGGCCAGGGGCTGGCACAGCTGGGGGCTCTATGCTCCCCGGAAGGGGTGGGGGAGGAGGACACTGGGCCACGGGGAAGGGACCACGGAGGGAGGCTGGGGAGGCACCCCTTCTTGCCACTGGGGCCACGGTGTCCCTGACCGTGTGTGGGGGGAGGTGTGGCCTTGGCAGGCTGTGGGAGGGAGGGGAAGAGGTGGGGGGGGCAGGGGCGGGATGGGGAAAAGGGCGGGGGGGGGGCCCTGTCCTGGCCTCAGCCTAGGCTTGGCCCCAGGCCAGGAGAAGAGGATGACGGGTCCCCACACATTGGGCCTTCCCTCCCCCTCCCCCCCCAGCAGCAACCTGAGCATAGAGCACCCCCCCCCCACAGAAGACAGGACCACCTGTGACCCCTTCCTTGACCTTAGCCTGTGACCTCCGTAGAGCCTACAGTGGCTCTGGGCTGGTTTCTCTGTCTCTGAGTCTTTGAAGGCCAAGGGGACCCTCTGGAGCTGGGGGGGGGGCTCCAGGCCCCGGGGCTCCCTAGGCTGGCCTCCTTGCCCTGTCTCCCCTCTTCCCTTGCCAGCCCCGGGGGGCTGAGGCTCCGAGGCCCCATAAGATGGGGACTTCTAACGGGAGGGTGGGTGTGGGCCTGGGGTCTGGGTCTCCGCCCCCGCTGCTGTGCAGCCTCAGGCAGCTGGCTGTCCCTCTCTGAGCCTTCCTTGCTATCCGGCCTTCCTCTGGGGGGGAATTGCCTGCCCCTGGCCAGCACGGCCCCCTCATCCCTCTCCTCGGTCTCCGTGGTCACATCCCCTTGGGGTGGGGACATCTTCCTGGGCCCCACCCCCTGCTGCGGGGCTGCCCCCTCCTCCCTCTAGGTCCCTGGGCCAGATGCAGGGGAGGGGACGGGGCCAGTGTGGGTGTGACCCCGGGCCTCCCTGGGCCTCGCTGGCCCACGCGGCCTCCCATCTGAACACAGGGATGCCACAGCTCTGCCACCAACGATCTCCCAAGGCAGGAGCCAGCACTAAGGAGGTGACAGGCGGGGTTGGGGTCACCTCACACCCCTTGAACCTGAGGGTGGGGGTGCAGTCAAGGGAAGAACCCAGCTGGGGTCTGGAGGCCCCGGGGTCCCCCAGACGGACGCCCTGCCCTGCCCTGCCCCAGCCCCCCGCGGCCAGCCCCTCGGCCCTACCTGTGATCCCTCGGCTCTAGTCCCAGAGAGGAACGGTTTGCAGGGGACGCGCCGGGCGCAGAGTAGGCTGCGGGGAGAGAGACCGAGAGCCCGTTAGCGTCAGCGCGGGCCCCTCATCCCCAGCTCCCCAGCACCTGCCAGGGTGGGGGGGGTCCTACTGCCTGGGGGGAGGGGGGCGCGGACAACACAAAGACCCCAGCACCGAAGCTGCAGCGATGCCCGCCCTGCACCGCCAGGAGATAAGCTACTGACGCCGGATCATTTACTGGGCTCTGGGTGAATGGCCCCCGGACGAGGGAGAAGCGGGGTGGGGTGAGGTGGGGGGACAGCCACGGGCCTACTGCGTGCCAGGCCGGCATGGGGCGCAAGCCTAGTGGGTTTTATTTTGGATGGTGCTGGGACGGACCCCAGGGCCTTGTGCACCCCGAGAGCAGCCACCCGCCCTCACAGTGCTCCCCGTTTGCCTGCCAACACGATTCCCGACCCCAGGTACACAAATAAAAAGAGTTCGCAACACCCGTCCCGCACCCATGTCCCCCCAGCTCCTCCCTGCCACGCCGTCCGGGGGCGGGGGGTGGATGCAGACCCAATCGGCAGCTTTGAGGACTGAGGCTCAGAGAGGGCCAGGCCCTGGTCTGAGGTCACACAGGCCGGAGGTCGGGAGGACAGCCGGGGCCACATCTTGGGGAGGCTGCAGTGGCCCCGCGCAGCGTCCCAGGGCAGCCAGTGCGCTGCAATCCGAAGCCCAGAAAAATCGAGAAGGTGGGCCAGGTGGGCGTTATTCCCTCCAACGGCATGGCCCAGTCCAGGTCACCGCAAACAAGCACCTGCTTGTCGCGGGTTCACTTCCCACTCCCCCAGAAAAGACGGACCTAACCTCCCGCCATCATTTTTTTGTTTTTTCTTTTCCGTTGGTCATGCGGTTGGCACTCGGGCCCGGGCGCCGTCCCTCAGCTCTTCAGCTCAAGGCGAGCGCTCTATCCCTTGAGCCACAGCACTACTTCCGGTTTTCTGGGGATTTACTGGGGATCAGAGTCTCACAGATTTTCCTGCCCGGGCTGGCTTCGAACCCTGATCCTCAGAGCTCAGCCTCCTGGGTGGCTAGGATGCCAGGCGTGAGCCATGGGTCCCCGGCTTCCTCACTGGGTCGTTATTTTCTACAAGAAGTGAGGCTGCTTCCTGGGGTCAGGGCTACCTGTGGGGGGGACCCCGTCTCCCGCAGGTGCTTGTGGCGTGGGGGAGGCAGGCCCTGAACTGTCACGCAGGCCGGGGGCCCGTAGGCCACGTGGGCGCCCAGGGAAGCAGCCTGGGAGTGGGGGTGTGGCTGCTCTGTGGGTTTGCTGGGGGGGGCTGCTTCCACGTCCCTGGGGAACAGAGAGAGACGTGGTATGGGGGGTGGTGTCCCCCCACCTTGGACGCTGGCTGTGTCCACGTGGAGCTGGGGTGCAGGCAGGATTGGGGCCTGGAAGGGTAAGGGACAGAGTGGCGGGGCCGAGAGCTGCTGGAGGTGGTGAAATCCGAACCCCGGGCCCTGCAAGGATCACGACCCCCAGCTCCTACTTGTACCCCCAGTTTGGGACTCGTGGTGGGGCCTGAACTCTGGGCCTGGGCGCTGTCCCTCAGCTCTTCAGCTCAAGGCGAGCGCTCTACCGCTTGAGCCACAGCGCCACTTCCGGTTTTCTGGTAGTTTATGGGAGATCAGAGTCTCATGGACTTTCCTGCCTGGGCTGGCTTTGAACCGCGATCCTCAGATCTCAGCCTCCTGAGTAGCTAGGATTACAGGCACAAGCCACCGGCGCCTGGCTTGGGACCCGCTTTCTACGCTGTGTCCCCGCACGCCCCGCATACCTGCTGGGACTTTGTCCTTGAGCACGCACGGCCCCCGTGACCCGGCCTGCATGTTTCTGCGTGCCACGGGCCCGGCCCAAGAGGCACCCAGGATCTGGGCACTGCCAGAGATCCTGTTGTCCCCAACTGTCCTACACACCCAGACTCAACGCAGAACAGGGGCTGCAGGCCCCCACAGACGGAAATCCCACCGCTGCAGAGGCCCCCAGGGGCCACGTGGGGGGGGATGCCCACTCACCGGTCCAGGCTGCTGGCTGGCCGGGTCACAGGCCAGCGACACGAGATCTTTGAGCGGGTCCTGGGGGTTGAGGTGGGGCGGGTACCGGATGGCCGTGTGGGGGAAGTAGGTGGACGCCGTCTGCGGCAGGATGGACGCGGTGGGGAAGTGCAGAGCCGAGGACGGGTGCGGGCTCCGGGCGATCCCTGCAGAACAGGACGGAAGGCGGGCGGTGAGCGTCTCCACGCCCGCCCCCCAGCACCGACGGACCGCTGCGTCCCGCCCCCTGCCCCAGCCCGGCACCCCAACACTCACGCCCAGCAGGGTGCCTGTCCTGCGCCTTGAACTCAAGGCCTGGGGGCTGTCCCTTAGCTCTTTCTCTCAAGGCTGGCGCTCTACCCCTTGAGCCATGGCTCCACTTCTGGCTTTTGTTTGGTTCACTACATGTAAGTCTCACACAGACTAGACTTTCCTGCCCGGGCCGGCTTCGAACTAAGATTCTCAGATCTCAGCCTCCTGAGTAGCTAGGATGACGGGTGTGAGCTCCTGGTGCCCAACTACTTTGTTTACTTTTTTCAGGAAGGATCTAGAATTTTTGCTTTGGGGTCTGCCTCGGACTTCAACGCTCCTCCTACAGCTCCCACAGAGCCGGGATGAGAGGTATGCCCAGCATGCCAGTTCTTTATTTTGTCGGTCGTGGGGCTTGAACTCTGGGCCTGGGCGCTGTCCCTCAGCCCTTCAGATCAAGGCGAACGTTCTACCGCTTGAGCCACAGCGCCACTTCCACTTTTTTGGTGGTTTATTGGAGGTAAGAGTCTCACAGACTTTCCTGCTGGGGCTGGCTTTGAACTACAATCCTCAGATCTCAGGCTCCTGAGTAGCTAGGATGACGGGCGGGAGCCACGGTGCCCGGCTAACATGCTAGGTCTTATTGTTTGCCATAGCGGGAAAAAAAGTCTCGTAGACCTTTTCCAGGGCTGGCCTTGAACTGTGATCCTCCCAATCCTGGCCTCCTGAGTAGCTGGGATTATAGGCATGTGCCACTGTGTCCAGCAGTAAATGTCTTTTAAACATGGAAACACAGTTAGCTCTCCGCGTCTTTAGAGTCTACATTGCGGATGGAAAGTATTTATTCTATTCTCTTGTCACTGGGCCCTCAATGGCGCAGCAGTGACGGTACTCCATGTTGACACAGTAGTACGTTCTCCATGACGGAGACAGAGCACCACGCCATGTTAAACCAGACAACTGCGCACCCATGGTAGGGGGACGGGGGGGGGGG